TATCAAACCGTTTATCAACAATTTTGCATTGTGTTCTTGTTCTGTTGCCTACAAAGAACACAATTGCAATCCTGAACTTTCTATTCCCCAAAGTTTACTTTTAGAGTTTTAGCATTTCTAAATCAATTTTTTTATTCATTCAGGTATAAATATAATATTTAAAACATTAATGGTTTTCTACATTTTAATATTTTATATAATCTAGAACAAGTATACTCAACATTTATCAATTCATGGTTTAAGATTTGTACTACAAATATATTGTAGTTTGTAATTAAGGTCAAACATATTAGTACATTGTTCTACTATCGATAAATGTTCTTTCAATTAGGAATAAAAGTAGACCAAATACCTTGACTATTATAAATATACATTTTATTAATGAAATTAAACACAATATTAAATTGATTAACAAAATTATAAGATAATTTAAAGATTATCAAACATATTCAATAAGCTGTTTACAATCTCTTCTTGTTTAGATGTCAGTTGTTTGGTTTTCAACATATCATGTAAATGATTATGTGTTGCTGCTAACATTTCAGAGTTATTTGGAATGTCATTCAAATTACAAAAATTTCCAATCTCATTYTGAATTAGGTGTAACCGTGAATCAAACAAATATGTTAAACTACTTATGTCTGAGGGCTCAAGTAAACTACACAAATTACAAAACGATGCACAAAGCTAGAAAATAAATAAATAATTTAGATAATTTACAAGTGTGGGAAAAATAATGTAAAATCAAGTTAAAAAACAATTCATCCACATGCGTTGTCAACATCTTAAAACGCATGATAGCAAATGGTACTTTCTGAATAATTCCTATAACTCTGTTAAATTTAATATTACAATGAATAAAACKTAYTAATAAAAATTTAATACAAAAACTATTAAATTTAGAAGCAAGGATATTATCTAATGAATCACATAACTTTTTTTTTTATCTTTTAATTTTAAAGTGGGTTAACATCATTTTTGAATGTTCAAACAACTATTTTAAAATAATCATAAAATGCATTAAATAAAAATATTAATAAAAATCTAAAAATCTACGAGATTCACCAGATAATATTTGCACATCTAAACTTGATGATAGATCAAATCACTTTAATATTAAACATAATAGAGTTAAATGGATTATTCAGAATTTACAGTTTTCCAAGTTAAAATGGAGACAACACATGCTGGCAGTTGTAGTGTCTCAATATGTAAAATTGACAAATTAAATTTTTGTTATTTCAAATATCTAAGAAGTTTAACAAAACYGCACATTAGGTGAACACCGATATGGCAGAAACCCAAAATCAAATCCACTCGTTTGTTTACCCATTTAAATGTAGTAGCCACTAGCCAAATTGTGTGGTTAAACAACACCAATCAAGCATCTTAGACTACATTAAAATACATAGAACATTTGACATGCCTTTGTTCAACTCTGTTGAYTTAGTTAAAGTTTTTAACATTTTTAAAGCAGCGTTACTRTATTTATTTTGCACAAACCTGATTTATAAGTTTTTGTTGATGCTTGTATTCACAAATATGAGGTAAATTTTGAGCATTTTCAAAAGCATCAAACAGTCTGTGCCACATTTTTGAGTAATTATTACCATATAGATTTCGACAATTATACATTAAAGATGAACAAGCTACATGCCTGACTTTAAAGTTACAGCAGTTWACAATTAATGTAGATAATGTATTAAACACATTGTTCTGGAAATGCAATAAAAAACTATTAATATAGAACGATTTTATACATTTGACTTTTAAGATCTTTATTTTTTACCCTTAAAGTTTCTGGTAACTTTTGGATAGAGTTGGTTTGATACAAGACTCCTAGAGAATTACAACTATTCCAACGATTCTAAAATAAAATACAATTTTTGCAATTAATTTTAAATGACTTCTTGCAATGAAATTGTTAACTACTAACTTTCATACTATCATTTCCATTGGCAATATTAATTAAAATATCTATGGAGTCTTCATATAAAGGACCAAATTGCTGTCCGGTAACATCAGTATGATCAATTAATGACAGAAAGAGTCCTAATGCCCTAGTACCACAAGCTCTACACTAAATATTAAAATAGATAAGACACTTTTAAATAACTACATAAAATTAAATACACAGTATGTTATTATATGWAGGCACTAATTACTGGTTTACGGTCAAGTGTTGATAGAGCAGCTTTTGCCAAGCATAATAATTTTTCATCTTCAATTTCATACAAATCCCTAAAATATGAATATGGTATAAGATATTGATAATAGAGATCATACTTGTATGATACTCTGTAGTATACATACTCAATTTCGTACTTATTTGTCAAACAACAAATACTAAAGGAAGCGATAAATTCAGAGGATTTAAATAATTATAATAATCAGCCCAAAATTAAAGAAAGGTGATGAAAATTATGTAATAATTACCAATTTACCCTTAAAAATTTRTTATAAATGATAGTTGAAAAAAATAATTATTTAAACTTCAACATTTATGATATTGGAATGCTGTATAAAATTATAATCATAAGTGTCAAACTATGTAGGTAATACACAGATTAAATWACTGYTTACCAATTGTCTACCAAGAYTTCAGATAAGCAGTTTAATGTCCATGCTAGCTTTTCTTGAACTGAATTTACTTTATTTACTGATGAAACATAAAGCAAACCATCAATAGTGTGTCTTATATAAATTGGATTCTATAAAATTGTTTTAATMAAATTATAAATTCTTAATAACCACTAAAAGTAATATTTTTTAWAATAAAAATATATCATATTTTAAACTTACTTTTGATAGCTTTTCATACTTAATTAATGTACCCAATGTTGCTATTGCAGCTGATTGGATATTTTGGTCTTCACAGGTAACAAACACATGTAATTCATCACAGTAAGGATCAATTAATTCATCCTATATAAATTATTTTTTGTTGAAATTATTTAACTAAATACTAATCAATGATTTGAAAATAAATCTTTTATATTCATACTTCAAGCTCATTAAATAAATCTGATCCAATTGTTGATAGACTTTCAATAAGAATGGGTAGTGTTTGAGGATCTTTTTCTTCAAATATTTGTGGTATTAATTTTCGAAATATCAACTTCCATTTTTCTAATCTAGCAGATTTATAATCATACCCTAASATAAAAATTACACTCTATTAAAATTATTAATTTTTATTATTATAATAAATAAAAAACAAATATGGTAAATAAGAAAAATGTATTCATATATACAATAAACTATACAATTTACCTTCCGATACCGCGGACATTTGTTTTAAGCATGACAAAATATTTTTGCGTAATAAAGTTTGTTTAGTATATTTCATGTCATCGATTGCAATATTAATTATCATTCTATTTTCAATCAGACCATGATAATGATTACAGTAGCTATTTAACATTTGCCAACATTGCCGTCTTACAATCATCTGTGTATTGTCTTGATCACATTCTAGAAATAACTTGGTTTCCTACAGACAAACATAAAATAAAAATTACAATATTAATTATTCCAACAAACTCAAATCATCAATTTGATTGAATAAATTTATCAGGGGTGGATAAAATTATATCTTTGATGACTTTCATTTAACACATTTTTGCTCGTAACTGTTATAAATGTATTTTTTTTATTTTTTTTTAACAGTAAACAAATGTATAATTGAAATGCTCTGCTCACTTACTTTAAATAAATACAAACATAAATTTACGATTTCTGTTCTTTTTTCTATCAGTAAATCTTTTTCAAATTCTGGAAGTTCCGAATTAAAAACGGAGGATAAACAGCGGAAGACTCCTATCCTTAGATAATTGTCTACAAGCAAATACAT